AATGAGATAATAATGTAATGTGAGTGGCTTAGGGGCACATAGCGGTATAGAGATGCCCATGATGCACCATACCATAGAGGTCTATATGAATATTTTAGTGTTGAATGGACTTCTGAGCACAGTTGTTCTTTAGATATAAAAGTCATTGGGCTTTCTGACCAGTTCGTCTATGGGGGCGTGACATCAAAAGAGATCCTCTGAGGTCATGTGCACAGCCGGTCATGCCAAACAATATCAAAATACTGTGTACTCAAAGGTGCGTTATGTAACTTTGACATGAGGGATGAGCCCAGACTGGCAAGTATGTGTACAGCAGTCCAAAACAAAAGAAATTATCCGAAGAAGGCTTTTCGCTGAAATGTTAACAAAAATCTTTTAAAAGTGTAAAGAGTGTGCTTTGTTTTTGTTTGTTTTTTTCACTTTTAAGTTGCAGCTCCTTGCATTGCACCTTTATAAGAGCTTTGGTGTGCATTTTTGTTTCATTTCATTAAATTTGTCTCTAGTGTTTATTAAACAAAATAATCTTTTGTTGTGTTTAGTTTCATTCGCAAATTTTTGAGTAACCCTTTATTATTAGTCTGCGTCTCCAAAGCTCAAAATGGTCTGCTCCACCTTATCATATCGCAGTAGTTTTAGTTAACAGCTACCTTTTACCTTTTGTTCAGTAGAGATTGGGATTACTAGGGCTGAACTTATCCAAATGATTCTAGTGAAGGTGTATGGAGTTTAAAAACACAGCGAAGCACTTCCTCTATTACCTCTATAACATCTTTAAAGTTTGAGAGAAGACGTCAGCCCAAATATGCAGAATTTGTGTGTTAAACATGTGTGAATGAAAAACTATGGGTAAGTTTTTGATGAAGAAACAACATTAATAACATAAAGTAACATTATAACATACAGTAGATCAGAAAATGCCATAACATGGGCCTTTTTAAATTACAGGTGTTTTTGTTGCTCAAAAATACCTAGAAAAACAAAGCATTCTTATTATGGATGCGGTTGCCTCTCCACCTGCCAGGAGATTGATATGTTTAATGCCATACTGTGAAACATTCCAGACAATGTCCAAAAATTTCCATGAAAATAAACCCTCCACTAGAAAAGTTACCCTCTGTTAATAGAGGCCCTTTAATGTTTTTTTGTTCATTTAAAGAGTGTTGTATGCTGCAGAAAAAAGAGTTGGATATAAAAAAATAAAATAAATTCAATAACTGATCATTGGCCTTATTGCACTGAGTAACTGGATCTGAATCATTACAGTACTCTATTAGTCACATGCATAATGACTTTGTCCACATGCACACTAAAATCTGATTATCTTTTGTTTTCTGAACCACTTAAGATTATTTAAATGACATCGAACCGGCAAAATCTGATGTGAGTAATCAACGAGACCGTGATCAGAAACAAATTGGATGATTTTGTTTTTACTTGTCATTTGAATAATTTTATAACTCCTAAAATCTGATCATAATCTGATTTTGAATGTGCATGTAATAATTATTATATCAACTTATTGTTAGAAATCTATCAATATAGGTTTTTACATGGTTAATTGTTTAGAATCCAGAGAAACCAATGGATGACACTTTTGGGCTGATATGTTGGTATGATTTTCTCCCCCAAATGATGTAATTTAAAATGTGTTCAACACAAACCCATTAGAGAGCTGTGTAGTTATGTTTTCAGCAATATCTTTTTGTGCTCAAGTGTTCAAGTAAAGCTTTATGGGTATTTTTAGGCTGCAGGCCATCCAAAACAAAATATTGGCCTGTGATTTAGATTTAAGGTTGATAGCTATACTAAAGATATACTATATACTATACTATATACTAGACATACTAAAAATTACAAATACTGGCCCAAAAAATTGTCTATCTCTGTTTCTTGTTCAACACATGATAGATGGAATAATCATTTTGCGGGTCAGTGTTTACAGTGGGTGCTTTTTCTAACTAGTTTTGTAATTTTTCTGTGCTATGATAAGATTTGAGCTGTAGACAGTTGAATAAATAACTTCTATGAGTCATTAAGCCTTTCAGTTATTCATTATAGCTCATATTCTTTAACAATACTGTACATATGGATTGCTTTTTGGGAGGATAATCCTGCTTTAGAGTTATTGTGTCTCTGGTGGCACAGTATTCAATATTATCATTTACTATCTAGATTTTCTTCAGCAATATATTACATTTCAACATTCGGGACAGGACTAGTAATTGTAAACCTTGTTCAACCACCACTTCGAACCCCATATTGTCATTGTATCTCTGGGCAAGACACCTCAACCACATTGCCTACTCCAGTTACAAAAAAACTGACACATCTGAACCCAAGATGACATTAAGAAGCTGAGAGCTAAAGATGAACAGATCTACACAGAAAACTCAAATGTTTTAAATGTTGTTTCGAATCAGGAACTTGCCCTAGTTTTTTATGCCAGAAATTTTCATGACACAAATAGTGATCTAAAAACACCTCACCCAAACAGTGATTGGATTACACTCCCACAGTCCAACCAGCAACACGTGAGCAGAGATCGCCCACACACCCGACTGCTCCATTCGCCTCCATCACACCTCAAATATAGTGCTGAGAAGGAGCATCACGGGTTACTGTCTGCAGAGATGATCAACATGAGCAGAATAGTGAGTTCAGTTTAGGTAAAGCTGCATTTTAAGACGGGTTTGTAAATGGTATAGGATTTAGGAATATTAGAAGTAGGTCAGAGAGAACAAAAGATGAGAGGTTTGGGTTACACTATGTAGCCTAAAGCTCACCTAAAGCTCACCTAAACCTAAAGACACATCAATGTAAATATAATGTTACTATGGTATTCCACAAGTGATGTTCTAGTGTTGTCATGAAAGAATTTAAAGCTTGATTTCAGTATTAAGGAATAGACTTGATATTCAGTGCTGATTCTGATACATTGATGATATTTTTAAAAATTCATTTTATTTAGACAATAGAATGTGATTTTCAAGATTCAATTGTTGTACTTTCTTTTATAGGCCTTTTTCCATGTGGTCATATATCTGTGTAATCCAGGTAGAGTCCATGAGCATATACTAGTTTATGCGCTCTTCTTCAGGTAAGGTTCAGTTCTGTCCTGTGAATTTGACATTTTTAGTATTGATACTTGTTCAGATGAGTATCTAGTTTCAATATGCAACTAATTTCAGTATCAGTTAGAAAAGGGTATCATTTTCCCAGGGCCCAGAGCAGGGAGGGCCCTTCACAAAAACTGTAATATGCAGTTTTCATATAAAAAAAACATGTAATACTGGCCCACTAGGATGATTTGTATCCAGGGTCAAGAATTTTGTACTACACCAGCAGGTTAGTCTCAAATCATAGTCGTTATATCAGGTTACATCATATTAGGAAATACAGACTACAATGAAAAGTTAGGGGAAATTACAGTAAATTCCTCTACTTAATCTCTAGGTATTTAAATAGGCAGGGCTGTTTTAGCATTTGTTAGTTGTGGTTTGTCATTTGGTATTCTTTTTTTTTTTTCCAACATTCAACAATCAGCATTAGGGCTTTTGGATTAGTTGGACATTTGATAATCACCCACGTCTTAAACTCAAAGAACTTAAATGTTCAAGTTAACCAAATACAGATTTTAGATAAATGCCACACTAAGATTTTTTTTTCTTCATATAAGTGCTCAAAAAGCTATTGAATTATTTTAAAATTATCTTTACATACAGTAGAAAAATACATTAACATTTCCAACTGTTTATGTCCTCTATCCCTTCATTTTATTGCGGTCATGGAGGACTCATTGACCTCTTCCGTGATACATAACTTGTTTGGCTATGGTCAATAAACTGCTGTAGTCACATGGAATTACTTTGTTTTTGTTTGATTTAATTTGATAATATTATGCAACACCACAACAATTTTTTATTCCACCTGTGGTTAAACATTAATCTCTGTGTTTGTTGTGGCTGATAGTTTGCAAACTGCCATTACTGCTCTTTCTCGTACATGTGAGGAGGAGGCTCCAGCTGTTAAAATTGGAGTGGTTATGGTCAGGATACTCTTTCAAATTGTAACATTTGAAAGTCATCATAAAGACACATTTACTACATGGCAATCAACTTAACATTATGAAAAATGATGACGGTTAGCAATTAACAATTTAAAATCCTATATAGAAAGTCCTCAAAATGTTGCATGTAACAGGACGCTGAAACCCATACTGTATACACCAACAATCAAATTTTTACCACAAGGGGAATGGTAGTTCCCATTCATAGCTGGTTGAATGACTATCTTATTCAAATACAAAGTCAAAGCTTGTTTCTAAATAGATCTACTTCCGTGAAATGGTTCAAATTGGTGCAACATCGGCCTGCCCAAAAGGAAATGATAGGATGTCATTTACAGTACTTTTTTATTATTTTTGTTGTGAATTTAACCAGTTCTCAGCCACAGCATTTGACCAACTTCCTTTTTAGTCACTGAAGGTACATTCATTTTAGGCCAAAATAATAATTGCTTTTTGCTTAAAAAAATATTTTGAACCTTACCCCAGCAATACACAGTGACATGCCTAAAACCTTTGTCATAGTGCAACATGTAGACTGGTCAAATCCTAAACTAGCCCCAGAGAAGATACCTGTATGACAGCCTACATTTAACATTCTTTTAGACAGATGGAGGCATTGGTGTGTACAATGATTGTCCTTTGAATGTATAGACTGCATTTGGTTAATTGCATCTGATGTCATTTTATGCTAGGCCATAGTTTTGTTCATAGTAAGTGAAATTTTTTATAATTTCATTTTTAACCCATAACCATGTTGTGATTTATACAATTATTGCCATCAGACCGATGTATAACTACTAATGTACATCAGTAGTATAAATTCAGTGTTCAGACAGTAGTGCCAATTGCATGGTTAACATTGAGTTATACTGCCCCCTAGCTGTCTAGTATATTCCCGATGTAGTGTCATAGTAAAAACACATACTCTTGCATGTCCCCATAAAAGGCCTTTATTTTGTAGTAAATGTACATGAGTGGGATTAGCGGTAGCGGTGCAGCTGCAGGGTGTTGCGTCTCTTCCAGGCGGCGCGGCGGGATCCTCCGATGGTCTGGTGGAACTTGTGGCCCTTGCCCAGGCCGCGGCTCTTCTTTCCTGCAGACGTGAGGCCGCGCATCTCCCTGTGTTTGTGCACGGCCTTTGTGATCCACTGGGTGTCGGGGTTGCGTCTGATGGCCTTGTGGAAGGTGTCCACCAGGATCACCTCAAAGAACTTGTATGTGGAGTCCTCTCCCACCCAGTACGAGTTGAGCACACGCAGAGCGCCACAGTGACGGCCAGCACGCTCCTGCAGGGGCAGAGACAAGACTAATGATCAGTTTACCTGCCCCCCAGTACAACACATACATGCATGTTCTTACCCCATGCCACACAATGCTCTGATTAAAGTTCCACTGGACAGTCTGTTTTCTAAGAGGCCTACTGTGCCCAAAATGATCATGGGTAATATCATTTGTCCCAGATTAGCATTTTGTTTATTAATGTTTACAGGAAATAACAGGCAGTGGACAGTTGCGTCAATTCTCTAGCAGTTGTGTGAGGCAAACTGAATGATGAGAAGCTGGGCTAAAATAAATGGGACCTTCATGAGCCGAGATGAGTTTGGTCAAATTTCATTACTAGGCATGCCAAAATTATTCTGTTAATAGGCCAATTGTAGGAATAAAAAGAGTCCTACAATTAACCTGAAGTGTAAAAAAGTCAATTCAGTAAAATATGTACAAACTAAAAGTTAGGTTCCCTTTTATCTGGGTAAACCACATTTCTTCTTTAAAAAAAGTTTCTCTTCATAAAACGGCATTCATTAGAGTAATAGTAATTAGACAATGAGTTAAGAAAAAAAAACAGTTTAGCTACAATAATCCTGACCAATTTAATTCTAAATTTGTTATGTGTCCTTTCACAAAGAACAGCTTTTGATATTGTGACCTCCCTATTCAAATGCAAATTCTCACCAATAAACTGGCGAATATCTTGTTTGTAGCCTTTAAGTTGATTTTTTTTTTTACCGCCAACCTTACATCACTTATCTCCTCCCCAACAAAGTAATACTAATAAACGTACTTCAGCGACGGACTGCAAACTGCGGGCAAACTTGATCTGGTTGACGCCGTGGTGCACAGGCTTGCCATAGGTGGCACCCTTGGGCACGGGGCGTTTGCGGCCACCACGGCGCACACGGACGCGGTAGATTACGTAACCTGAAAGAAAGAGGGACATGGATTAGGACAAAACTTGATTTGATGGTGAGTGACTCCTACAGATGTGCTTTCAATAAACAAAACAAAATATAAACAGGTAATTATAAATACAGAGCTTCCAAATTGCTGTGGTTACTTTGCAAACAGCAAAGGCAAATTTCTTTCTGGCCATAGTCCTTCTTACAATAGATTTGGTGGGTTACAGGTTATTTAAATCTTAAATGTCCATAAATCACAAAATTTGGTGTGTTTGTGAACATAACCAGTTATTGTGAAATGTTAAGACGGCAAGTGAAAGTGAGACAACGTACCCTGCTTAGCCTTGTAGCCCAGTCTGCGAGCCTTGTCAGGTCTGGTGGGCCTAGGAGCACGGTGGAGATTGGACAGCTGACGGTACTGCCAGCAGCGCACACGGAGCAGGAAGCGCATCACATCGGACTGCTTCTTGCGCCATAACTCCTGCATATACCTATACGCTCCCATGTTGACTTATCTGAAAAAGAAAAGCATCATTAGTTATGAGGTTTGTTGTGCTAGATTATTATAAGAGCTGTAGCCCTCTAGTTGCTCAAAGGCATCTTTGGCAAACTATTAGGTGTTTAATTGTATTACAATAATTTTAAAGGGCCAAAACAGAAAACACATAGTGGGGTGGGTTGTCTACCGTTTTGGAAGTGAGTGGACATTACTTTGCTTTTTCACTTTAAAGACTTACCCGTGCTCAATATCTGACCCAAATACTAATGTTGAAAACTTCTGCAAGGGCCACACAACTAATCAGCGATGCACAGGATATGTCTTTAGCTAACCCTGAATGTCTACAGAGAAAGTGTTTAGCCTTAAAGTACTGAAGTATCCCAAAGAATTTCAAGTAGTTTCTGTAATCACTTTACGGTCAAGCCATTTGCACATGGTTTAAGACTCAAAACTCAAGTCCAAAACTGCAGCCAACTTGAAATTCATAATCGTACAGGCACAGAAGCATCTAGTTAAAAGTACAATCACAGTAGATAAACTGCACACGGATGCATGGCTGTGATGGAGCCAAACAACATCAGGGGTTAGCATGCTAGCGCAGGCTACGGACCGGTCATACACTTTTTAACAAAAGCAGTATTATTTGACTTGTAATGTGATGGCACTCTACCGCCATGAATACAACAGTCCCAGTGTTATTTCTCTGAAATATTGCGCACAAATAATAACTGCGTTATTCAAACCCACATAGATCAGCGACCGGTGCCATTGCGTCTAATCATAATGGTAACAGGCTATTCTCGTACACAAATCGAGGTAATCCGGTAAATAACCACAACGCAGACATCGCTACAGTGTCCCTAATAATATATCTAAATGGAAATAGCAGATGATTGTTTTTAATGAATGATTTTAGTGGATTGTATTTGGGTAGAAGCATTGAAAATCTGTCTTACATGATGGCGTACCAGCCGGAAAGAGAGAGCATACGTACCCAGCATGCCTTTTGACAACGTCAGTGATGCTTTTCCTGTGAGGCGCTCATGGGAAATGTAGTTTAGTTGTAAGAGTAAGTGAAAGAGCTGAGTTTTATTAGATCTCGTTTATAATTATACACTTTATTCATTTATTCTATATTACACTTTCATTGTCGCGGACTAGTCATAATTTATGTGCTTTAATTATTGGTTGAATAATTATACAGTATTGGAGGAAGAACTGCGCGTGCGCAACAAAATGAAAGTCCTGTCAAAAGGTAGCGGAGAAGAATGGATGTCCAAACAGTAATGGTGCATTTCAAGACGTGAAGTAAAGCTTCTTATCCAACAAACAGAGGTAATGACTAGTTTTACATCTGTCAAACGGTTTGTTACTTAAAATATCCATGAACAAATAAAGTAAACATTATAACAGTACGGCTAAACAAGCTAACCCTGCCACCCTCTGCAGTGTTATCTATTGTTATTTATTGTGCGACAGCTTTTGAATGTCTTAAACTTGTCTTCTTTGCAGAGCAGAAAATGGGGAAAGGCTGTAAGGTTGTGGTGTGTGGACAGGCAGCAGTAGGAAAGACTGCAATACTGGAACAGTTGTTGTATGGCAATCACATTGTAGGTAAGTGATTACATAAACCATATAGCTAATGATGCTTGTTAAGTGGTTGATAAAACAGATTTACGCCCTGTTTACAACTGCATGTTTGCCATGTGAAGGTACTGGTGTTTTTTTTTTGCTTCTAGACTGTGATAATCAAATGGGGTGCAAGAGCCACTTTTCCTACTGATTACTCTGTATGATCAATCTGCCTTTAATATTATTGTCCTGTATTATAGAATGTTGCAGTGTAATCTGAAACCCAGCAATAGTAAAAACTTTGTGCATGGTGTGCCGTGCTCAGGCTCAGAGTCGACAGAGACACAGGAGGACGTGTACGTAGCGTCAGTAGAGACGGACCGCGGGGTGAAGGAGCAGCTCAGACTCTATGATACCAAAGGCCTTCATGACGGACAGGAGCTACCCAAACACTATTACTCTGTGGCAGACGGCTTTGTGCTGGTCTATAGCGTGGACAATCTGGACTCCTTCAAGAGGGTGGACATGCTGAAGAAGGAGATCGACAAGTCCAGAGATAAAAAGGAGGTGAGCTCAAAGTACTTATGTATCTAACTGTCAGTTTACAAGTGCATGCAGGTTTTTCACCCTTTGCTCAGTTTGTTTACTTTTGCTTTGTTGCAAAACATCCATATCATGCATTGTGAATGTAGTGGTCAGTGAGAGTGAAGCATCTTGCTCATGGACACAATAGCCAATCCATATCACTTTATTTGACCTAAAGGGCAATTTAAGCACAGTGAGTGGTAAAATACAACAATAATGGAAAGCTCAAACAAAAGACTCAGTGCAGCTCAGCAGGTAAGGTCATCAGATCCAGTGTTAGGGCAATTAAGAGGAGCAGAAGAGAGGAATATCGCACAGAACAGAAGTGTCTCTTCTCTGTCCCGAAGCTGAGGTTTCATAGTAGTGTCCAAGTTGAGCTCAAGGTACAGAACAGGAAAGTCTCTTCTAGCCTCACTCCACTTTTGTTTCGGTCAGTGATGAGAGTGGTAATCATGACAATAATCATATTAAAATGGCTTCTTCTCTCATATTTATACCAATGATTTTAAAGAATTTTGAATTTGCCAAAAACAATGTAAAGCATGAATAATACCAACTTTTTATCACATTTACTGTGATGCTAAGTTAACTTAATTTAAACTTTATAGTTCACCATTGTGATACTGGAGGCCTATATTAAGACGATATACAGACTTGTTTCATTTTGAAAATGGTTGCTGATTGCTTGCTTTCATATGCAGTCACATTTTATAGATTTGTAAGGTTCATAAAAGAATAAAAACATTAATAATAATAATGCCTTGCACTTTTAATGCGCTTTATAGGCTCTTCAAAGTCCCCCAAAGTGTAGTCATCATTCACTTCACACTGGGTGCCCTGGGACAGACTAGCAGAAGCGAGGCTGCCAGTCTGCACCATCAGCCCCTCCGACCACTACCAATTATTCACACACTACTTTCATACTGGGCTATGTGGGTGAAGTGTCTTGCCTAAGAACACAATGACAGAATCGATTCTCTGACCTTCGGGTCGGGGGACCACTGCTCCAACCACTGAGCCACAGGCATAAAAACAATCACATTATTTTAGTTGGAGACTATTAAGTAATATCTAACAATCATAACAAGATCTACTCTTCCACTATGTTGAGCCAACCAAACCTCAAAAACTAATTTAACATTTGTGACTTTCCTTGCTACCCATTTCAATTGATACTTAAAGCTAAATTAGGTGGAAATACTACTGTTAAAAATCCCTCTCAAATAACATTACTGTCACAAGCTAGCATTAGGCTTTTACACTTTTTTTTGTTGAAAATCAAACATCTAAACAGGACCTTGATAATAACCTCATAATGATCAGATTCCTGTAAATGTGTTCAATCCATTGTAGTTTTCAGACCTTCCTTCATTTTATCTATATATTCCTAGGTGGCTGTGATTGTCCTGGGCAACAAAACAGACCTGCGTGAGCGTCGTCAGGTGGACCAGGAGGCTGCGCAGCAGTGGGCACGTGGCGAGAAGGTCAAACTGTGGGAGGTCAGCGTTTCTGAGCGCAACTCCCTCATTGAACCCTTCACCCAGCTCACCAGCCGCCTCACCCAGCCCCAGAGCAAGTCCTCCTTCCCCCTGCCCGGGCGCAAGAGCAAGGGAACCGCCGCTAATGACATGTGAAGCCAATAGAGACTTGTGAGGAGTGAGAGAGAGAGTGTTTGATGTGTGTGTAAGATTTGTGGGGACTGGTGAATGTTCTGTTGAGATTTACTTGGGTTAAAATAGGTGAGGTAAAAGAATGGTAACTGGAAACTGGAGAGAGGTGTTGAAAATTGGTTAGATTTCATGTTTTAGTTTCTTTCTTGGATCTGCTTAAGTTCAGAATGTATCCCTCATCTATAATAATTATTCAACAGGCATTTTCAGTAAATCATTGTAAAAAATATACTTTATAGTCCCTATTGGGAAATTTGTCTGCATTTTACTGGGGCAGCCTGTCAGGAGCAATAGGCAAACACACTGCAGTACCCGGGAACACACCTCCAAATCTTGAGTGAAGTTTGATTATGACTGCATTATCTGAAGGATTAGGACCGTTATGCACTGCAGTATGGTTTAAGTTCATGGGGTAAAATTGAGTGTCCATCTAAGGCTAATTTAAAGATTTTTCATTACTTTAGTGCATTTTTTAAACTTGAAATGAACAAAACAACAATGATTTTCAAATTAATACAGTATATTTTTTCCTTTTCTCTTACAAACCTAATCCACGAATACTTCTAGCACTTGCCTGTCTGTGTTTCAGCTGCTACTAATCTAAAAATTGTACTTGTGGAAAAATTCCATGATACTATATCTAGATCTATAGGTATCTAAGAACTATTGCACTTCATCTTTTCTAACAGAACATCATTTCAAAACCTGTTTAAACCTCCTGAAAATATTTTTGCCAAGTTATGCTGATGTAAACAAAATGTCAGTTTACAGTGCATGCTACAAAAAATTATCAGTTCTGACAACTTTTGATGCCTTTCCAAAGATTTCATAACCAAAACTAACTTGCCCATGCTGAGATATGCTTCCCTTTAAACAACAACGTTTAGAATATTTTTGTTTTAACCTTACCACCATGTATTGTAAATGCAGCACTGATTTAGTCCTCTGTTGTTGGGACACTAGAACCACTAAGCTATGGTCCATCATCTCATACGTCACTTGGTAGCAATAATATTCATGGTACAGTGAGTAATAATTCTAAACCTGTGTCAGTAGTGTTATTTCATAGGGCTGCTTGGAAAGGTAATAGAAGCGAATGTTAGAAATGTCAGTGTTAAGATGCAATATTTATTCCTTAACTTATTTTTGCCACTTTGAGCCACATTCCATGATTATTAAATGGGACTTTTACAATACGGTGAACTATTTTGTGTTGTAATGACTTAAATGCACTGTTAGGCTAATACGGCTTTGTCTCTTCCTTTATGCTACTCAAAATGGTCTTAAATTGTAAAAGCACTGAATAAAGTGTAGCTTTTCTATTAAAAAAGTTATTTTTGTGTTTCATTTCAGTTTTGTAGTTTCATAATGTATCTGATTTACAATTGGGTTCATTCCATCCTCAGACTTTCAAAGAGGCAAGTTAAGTGTAACGTGTCTTGCCCATTTAGCATGCACTGCCCAAAACCAAGATTGAACTACCACCCAAACATGTTGACCAATACAAATTTGACTGCACATTAACATCTTTGTAATAATGTGGAGGGTTCATCACCTGCTTGTTTCCACAGAGATGTTAATGTTTAGTCTGGGATGTTCCACAGTATGACGTAACACATCTATTATTTGTTAAGTTCACGGTAAAGCAGGTTTTTCAATAAATTTTTCCATCAATAAATACCTGTTAATTATAAATGCAAGATAAGTCTGTCATAATGTGAAACAATCCAGACAAAGCAATAACATCTCCATAGAAACAAGCAGGTGGTGGACCCTCATCGTACATCTTTAAAGTGGAACTAAACAAAGTGTGAAGTGTGTGTATACGGTGTCATCTACTGTTCCTAGTAATTTCTTGGTAACATTAGTGTAAACTGTGTACATTTGCAGCTTTCTGGTAGAAAAAATGCCTAAATCTAAGTTTGTGCTCGCTCTAGTGGCTTCGGCAATTTCCAGTAGTTGTTAACATCACCAAAGATTGAGTTTGAAGTGTGGATACCAATCACACTATTCCTTCTACCCGCAGATTCTGCCCCCACTCTCTCTCTCTCTCCTTTAGTCCTCCAGGTAGTACCCAGTTTTAGCGGCTCGATTTGAAATGTGGTTTTTGGCAGAGTTTAGGCGTTTAGCCCCACACTATGGCACATTTCAAACATCACAGAAAAATAGTTTAAGCCATACATCTCCATGGAAACACCTAAAGTTACACCATTAAAATATTAAATAAAAGACACGAGATATTCAAGTTGGTCATGTTTTATTTGTAATGGGATGAACAGAACAGTTTTTTTTTTATTTCTCAGTACAGAAACACAAATCACAACCATTCCAATCTACCTGTCTACTTTTGTAAAACACTTTAGCGTTTGGGGGGAGCGCACACCGATTTTAATAGGACTGGGAAATCATGCGGACACGTTTTACCTAGCGCTTTACCGTCCATCTTAAAGCACGAGCTAAAAGTAAAGGAAAAAAAAACACAAAAGTAGTAGCCTGATTACATTTGGGCCAGAGATAACTTAAAAATACGACGAGGGAGTTAAGACTTGTAATAAAAATCCGCCCCTCCCCACCCTACCCTTCCCCCTGCTTCCATACGCTTCCATTAGGCCCCCCTTCCCCCCTGGACACCCCCCCGCGGCCCCGAGTAGCCGTTTCGCTTCGATCCGTCCGTGTGATTATGTGGCGTAGCGCTTGGTCCACTGTTTGGCTATCCTGTCGTGTTCAGGTCTGTTTGTGGTGTACTGTGTGGCGATGCTCCCGACCAGAGGGTCAGCTGTGGAAACAAAAAAGGACAGTGGTTAGAAATATGGAAACTGTTTGGTACCGCACAATTCAGATTTCTTTATCAACCAAGAGTGAACAACAGGTCTCAGAATCTTTGCACACCCACTTAGTCTCTTCACCCACTCTTTTGTGTCTCTGTCAAGGTTCAACATCAGCCTGGAATAGTCAGGCAGCATCTTCAGTACCTGCTCACTCCACATTGATACGTGTAGCCCTCTAAACTGAGCTCTAAACATCAATCTGAAACAGCTCTTACTGAAAGTGATCAGAACCAACGGTCTTAATGTTCAAACATACACTCTGATTAGCCTGTATGTGACAGTTTCTGACCAGAGTGAAATAACAGTTTTTGAAGTCAAAACAAAGCGTGAGAATCTTGGCGGCAGGGCTAGTCTCCGCATGTCTTATCATCCAACATCTCTGATTGGATCAAATTGTCTTTAACTGTCAGTTGCTTCCACATGATTCTCATCTAACAAAACACTTTAAATGTAATAAAAAAATGTATAAAAAGAACAGCTTTCAGTCGTGTTTATTCTTTAATGTTAAGAGTTTTTCTACATTAATAGTTAACATTTCTAAATGCATAAAAGTAAAAAATAACTACCGGTACTCAAATCATCATGACATTGTTCTTATACATATTTGTGTTGGTTCACACGTACAGCCTTCTCATGGCTTTTACCACCTCTGTTATTTTAAACTATGTAAAAGAGTAAAGTTCACATTTTTCCAGAGAACTCAGCTGACCCAAAAGTTCTGATTTAGCACTATGTGTCCCTTAAGGCTATTTAAGGTTTTCACATGGTCCACCAAAAACTGTTTCAAAAAACTAAACATAATTCTAGCATTGTACAGTTTATTATTCTTATTACACCAACTACACTTTCCTATACGCTTTTATATAGTTTAAAGATGCACTATGTAATATTTCACCTGCTTATTGTTGCCATGAGATGTTACTGCTGTGTCTAGAATATTCCACATTATGGCATTAGATGTATCCCTTTAGTGTCAAGAAGGTATAAACCAGGCCAAGCTACAAGTCAGCTCTGAGGAGAAGTTATACACAGTAGATATGGTGGTAGCTCAAAAAAAGAAGTCAAAATCGCTTTAAAGATCTTATGTTCCTCTGGGATCTGGTACAAAATGAACCCCTGGGCTAACTGAGGTAAACCTGGCTTATTGTTGTGGTGGTACGCGTTTCTCTCTCACCAGGGTTGCAGTCGGTGAGCAGGGAGCAGATGGAGAGCAGGACCTTGGAGATAGTCAGGGCCGGACTCCAGTTGTCCTTCAGGATGTCCAGACAGATCACGCCCTGACTGTTGATGTTACAGTGGTAGATCCTGGTGCGGAACGTCACCTGGAAACATGGGAAAACAAAACCATATTAGGAAATCACTTACATTATTCAGCTGTAAAACAAAGATGGAGACATGAATTTTATATAAAAGTCTAATCTACCAAGGCAAGCTGCAAGTTGTATTGTATGTTGATCTGTTAACGTGAATCTGAAGGAAACTTTATATTGATTTGTTCGGGGTGGCACGTCAGCTGCATGATTCCATGTAAAGAGAAAGTTAAAACTCTACATAGTAACATTCTTCATAGACAGATACAGTTCATGCTACACTCTGAAAGATTAGGAACAATATCTCCATAGAAACAAGCAGAAGAGTCCCTCCTCCAAGCCAAATAACAGTCAGGTTTATGAAGATGCAAGCCTGTCCACAGTAAGGACGTTTTCTTTTTTAAGTGCAACAAACAGAACCAAAATGAAAAAAACTAAACAAAAAACATGCTTATAATTTTAGTATATTTGTTTGGAAAATTGTTACGAACTGTGGCTTTAAATTTCACTTTAGTTGTTCCAATATATATTTGGAGGGAAAAAAAATACATAGATAGAGCAGTATATGTTCAAAGTATCACAAAATCAAGATGTACAGTTACAGATATATCTCTCCATGTTGTGCATTAGACTTGAGGAGGTGTTAAACAGCCCCGCGTGGCTATCTGACATCTGCCCTTTGAACTGTTTCTTCAGAAATGCCTGTAATGTGACAAGCTGAAACAGGACCTTGTTGGACTGTGTGGCTCTGTGCAAATAAGTTACACATGTGAGGTCCCTCCTGACAAACACATGTGTAGCCAGAAGTCTGTCTACAGTTTGTGCTGCTGTGGGGACCTCCCATGACCTGCACCCTGCACTCAGATTCATTATCAGTAGTAGTAGGAGTAGTGTACATTAGTAGTAAGGGATTGGCGATAAGGTATAGTTAAAGTATATTATCATCACAAATTTGTACATTTACAAAAATGGGCCTATAATGCACACTCTTATAAATTGTAATGAAACAATATTGTAGCAGTTTTTGCTCCTTTTCAGTGCTGCCAATAAAAAGACATTACTGTTATTAAAAGCTTTAAGACATAATCTTTTGAAAGATGACATTGCAGAAAAAGTATAGCACCAGATATCTGGCTGCAATAAACACTTATTTTAGAACTTTTTCTGACTAATCAAATAGTCCAATGATGATTTATATTGTAAATTGATTTTTTTATTGCATTTTTAGATTAAGGTGCAAATATGCCTCCTAGGTAGAGTTCAGATAAGAATGAACGAATACTAAAATATTTAACAGCCCTGAACAGATCTTTACATTTATATGGTAGTAGTGGTAGTAGTAGTATTAGAAAGAGTATTCTATACAAAAACAGCATTAGCCAAATTTTTTATTAAAATCCATAAATTTTCTGGAAGTTTTATCAAATGGACATTGGTACACTAATTGCTCCATCCTGTTGAACTGACTGAAAGCTCCAGAGGTTAATGAGTCAATGTGCAGGGCAGGAGCTCCCTCTGGTGGCTAAAGAGTGAATAACACTCCAAGTGTAAAGTCTAACACTAATCTCACCTTCGGAGGTTTGAAGGGGTAGTCTGGAGTGAAGGCGATGTCCAGGAAGAAGACTCCTCCCTCGTACACAGAGCCGGGGGGGCCCAGGATGGTAGACCTCCACTCGTAGATGTTGTCTCCTTTGGGACCCGCGCTGGAAGACATACACAATTGACAGGATGAATGAAAAATCTAGTAAAATTATTGTTGAATTGGTGGTGTTGAGATTGTAAAAAGCACCAAGTGCCTAATGTACCAAGGCTAGAGCCAGTATTCTTATTATAGCGGTGTTTCCCAATATAGAGGAGGTTATGGTGGCCCCTATACCCAAATTTTTGCCCCCCATAGTCTAAAATGAATCTTTAAAAAAAAACCAACAGAAAACTAACAATATTTTATGCCTGTAGTGTACCATCTTAAGATATAGAAGTAACTATATTTTATCTTATTTTTATCAGCAGAGTCAAAGTCACATTTATTCTACACATTATATTAAACAAAATGATTCAAATATGGATGGCTTGTGCTACTCAGTAGTCTCAAGTTGTGGAAAACACTATATACACACAGTATATTGCTAATGGGGTGATGCAATTAACAGCAATTTAACAGAGATAATTTCATATTTCTAATGTCAATGTTC